ATTATTTCTTGCTATTACTCAGTGTTTAACAAAGTGAGCACTCAGACTATAAAGTTTTTCACTGTTTAACATCAAATCGCTTTCCACGTCATTAGGTACCATACCATTTGGTTTATTAACCCGTGGTGTGGCTATTAAGAAAAATACCCCTTGTTTATTTAAACTTAAGGGTATAATTGCAACGGTTGTATGAGTTTCTCATTGAATTTATAATTTTATTGTTATAGGCATTTTGACACAGAGTCATTTAATAATTATTAAAGTACGTAATATGGTGTTTTCATTAAAGCCTTATCTTTAGACAATGATACCTAAATTATTTGCCTGAGGTATTTTTAATTATTATTCATGTTTACCTATCATAAATAAAATTTCTTATACACGTTTTGTTTAGATATAACTGAATTTTATACGAGATTACATAAGCTTCTGTAATGTGCTTCTACTTGAATCTTTTAATATATCGAAGCTAAAATAATGGCTATTTACTAAATCAAATTTAAAATTCATCAAGCTTGTTTTCAGGTATTTTAAAAAAGTAACCTACAAACTTATATTCAAGCAACTTTATATAAGTACGTATAATATTAGTACCTGCAGATAATACAAAACTTCGACGTCGAACTCAACTTAGTTCAATTTTTGTATATTATTTCTTATACATATGTATATATACTCCTATGTAAACTTTGATATAATACTGTCTGAAACAATATTTCCACAAAGTACGAGTAAATTTATATATTTATAGATCTATATATGTATTTATCATCTTTGTCCCTGCATTGTGTCTGAGAATTTAAACGTTTCAACTTTCCTTATTGTATCAAAAGAAATAGATACAAATCTGATTTACCTCGAGCTCTATAGGAAGTTACATTATATCTAATAAGTAAAGATAATTAACACAATTTCAATGTTTTGCTAAAGTGTACAATGTCTCCCATCTACCGTGTTACGATAATTATAATTGATAGCGTTTCTCGTTCACTCATTCACTCAATTATATTAAATGGAGTGAATGTTAGCTGTTTCCCGCTTTGGAACAATAACGATAATCAGATGGCAACATCTCGCGAACAATGACACTGCATTTTACTACTGTGCCCATGAATATTTAAATAATAACGATATCCTTAATAGCATATAAAACGTACGTAAATACATAAAAATGCAATAATTTATCATGAATTGATTATACGTACTTTTTGCCAGGCACACTAGGACAGCATTTGCATAAAATGTAACTTAGGTAATAGGTAGGTATATTACAACTGAATTCTATTAAAAAAAGTAAACCAAAAAAAGCCTTATATGATTTAAGTTCAAGATTATTTATTACTAGCTACTTATCCTCGCTTCGCTTGGGTGCGTCCATAGGTACGTTTTAATTTTTTTGAGTTATTCCTTATAACATCAACTATCTGCCAGAGAAAGTCACGTCAAAATCGGTCCAGCCATTTCGAAGATTAGGCGGAACAAATAGACAGATGGACAAACAGACAAAAAATTTAAAAATTGTGTTTTTCTTACAAGTAGGTCCTGTATATAATTTAATATGCATTTAGTAAAAAGCTGTTATATTGACATTACAAACAGACACTTCAATTTTATTTATCTGTATAAATATAAATTTTTTAATTGTGGTCTATTAAGTGTTAGTATTAAAAGGCAAAAAATGACTCCACTTAATTTCCAAGAACCAACAATTAATTAACATAGGAAAACATTTCATTACATCTTTCTATTAAGGTAATGTCTTATTAATTATTATAATCATAAGAGCAATTTTAATAAACATAAATTTATTTAAAATAGACTGTGAGGTAGAGGAGGTACCTATAAAAAATATTGCTGTACAATAAAAAATATTGTCAGTATTACTTCCTATATCTATTAAAATCATGGCAAACCTAAGCTTTTAACCGACTTCTCACGGAGCTGTTATACTGTTAACCTAACTACCTGTAATAGGTGCATGCATAACATTTTAAAATTAAAAGTTATTGTTTCATAAAATGTGTGGGAATGTTTAATTAGATAAGTGGTATAAACGGAGTTAAGCGCATTATATTATATCTGATGAAAGTTAGTGACACTAAAATATAACGAATTCAAGATATTATAGGTACTTGCGTTTCTAGATTTACACAACATTTGCTAACCAGCAATCCTTAGACTCGCTTTTAACAACTAGAAATTGCTAAGTAACAAAATTTTATACATTCTATTTAGAAATCGTTAAATTATATCAAATGACTTACCATAAAAGAATCTTTAAGATAAAGTTTACATAAATGTAATTTTCAAATGAATACCTATTGCCTTAAAAAATATTAATTACAAAAATGATTTTATCAAAAATAATCTTCTTCCTTGTAAGTCTAAATTAATTGGGTACTAACCTGTTATTGACGAAGCAACTTATTTAAATATTAAATAAGCAGTCAATCGTTCGGTAGTACATGGCAATAGACGATAAAAATATGAACAGTAGCCATAAAATAAACTAATGTAAAAAATATTAATAAGCAATAGGGAAAGTAAACATAAATTTGTTCCACGCATTTAAAACGCATTCCGAACTCATCGAAAATTAGTTTTGGGCAAGTTTCACATATACACGCCCTTCCCGCGTCCGTCATGTGCACAGCTCGAGCACTCTTAATGAGTTGAGCGACGGCAAAAAATGTGTTCGTCTACACAATACGGAGGCGCATGACTCGCCGCTTGCGATCAGTTATTAATAAAAAGCGGCCGCTTCATTGAAAGGGCGATTAGCTCAATATTTATATGGAATATTCGGTATCAACGCTGCTTTGTGCTCATAATTCGGTGGGTCATGACGATGCGCCTTTGACTCTACCGCCCAACGCATAGACCAACTGTTCCTGAGAATACGGACTTGAATTGTTACACTTTTTATACATGACATTATATTTATTTGCAAATATCATACTTTTAATTTTAGAAATCTGCACAAATAACAATATGAAGTTGTAAATACATTATTATTGCTTTAATTATATTATTGGTTAATTTAATACTAATCATATTACACTAATATCATTTCGTCACTTAATTTATCTTATATAACAGAAATGTATAAAACTTATTTTACTTACTACCGAATTGACTTGCTCTTTGTATAGAACTCGACTCCGTAACAGCTACTATGCCGCTATAATTTATCTAATATTACATTTAACTCGTACATCAATCAAATAGCCGACTCGGCTGTATTAAATTCAAAGAGAGAATGAATGCTTTAATAGAGGTAGGTACTTTTGTATATTTTTATGTTAAAACATAAAGTAAATACGAATTAAGAGAATTTACCGTTTGGTTTAGAATAAGAATTTTAAATTAAAGATTTTATTTACTCTGCACAAAAATGAAAATTCTCACTACTATTATAATTGAGGAAGTTTGTATGTGTGTACGTTTGTTACTCCTTAAGGATGGCTGAACGGATTCGGACAAAATTTTGTATACCTACAAATAGACTATAACCTAAAGTAACACTTAAGCTACTGTTAGTAATAAAAGTTGCCAGAATGGGGTTGTTTATGCATAATATTACGAGGGTAAATCGCTAGCAATACATAGGTACAACATATTCAACTCAGGTTACGTAGAAAAAGTTATTTTGAAATATAGTAAAATAATTTATATCACACAAAATAGACACCATTTTACATAAGCGATATCTGGCAGAACAATTTTTCAGTAGAGCTGATGCTAATGAAAAGGCCTTTTCACGAGCTTTGGCGCCGGCCGACATGCAAATGTGCTGTTTAATGATGCGCGAAGCTACGCAACATAACTATGCTGTTAACAACAAATGGAATATATAAAAATACTATAAACCAGTGTTAATTTTCGCGATTAAGTTTTTTATATCCCTATTACTACTATACAGTATAGTATATACTAATATTAAGCTTATTTAACTCATAGGTGTGTTCTTTAAATTGCTACAAGAGTTCCGATTTATTAATAGATATAAAAAAAAGATTTGTAAAGTAATAGGTAGGTACCTATTAGTTATATTCGTATGGCTAATCTTTATGAATTCACGTTGAAGCAACTGAATAAAGAACAATTAATAACGCTTACGTCTTTTTGAATGCGTATAAAATAGTATTCCTCAACGTCATGGTAGTCATATAAATTGTCACCAAATGGAGATCATCCTTAAAGCTACAGTAGATTACAGCATGAAAGCGCCTAACAATACTCTTTTAATTTTTCATTATGTAGCAATAAAAACATCGTAAATGAGAGCGACAAAAAGTTTGAGACTAACAAAAACCGCGAGTCGGGGCGAAATTCGCAAATCATCCCGTCGTAATGATGCCGCTTGAAAAAATTTAAATATCAAAAGGCCGGACGAGGCACGGTAATGGTTTAAAATCATTTTTCATTCGAGTTCACTCGTGAGTCAGAAACGAAAACGGTAGCCATCGACTGCCCTCCCATTAATCTCAAGTCGCTGTTAGAATTTTTGGACAAGGTCCATGTTTCATTAGCTACTTCATATATTCTCTGTAGAATTAAATTGTATATGAAAAAGGAATACTTCGAAAGCATCCATTAGGTAACGTGCATCTTATTTTTATTTATTTAATCATTAACATGGTTGCCAATCAAATTAGCTGTTATTATATATTTTAGGTGTACTTTTTCTAATAAAAATAAATCTTATACAACTACTTTTAACAAAATCCCATCAGCTAGTAAAAACAATGAATTGATAAGCAACAATAAAAGTCAGAATATTTTATAAGAGAAGGCAGTTTGTGAGAAAACTCAGCTCTAGCAGTTTAAAAAATTTTAAAAAAATCTATTGCAATATAAATGTTTGAATAAAAACCATTTATTGGACAGTATATTTATAAAATAAAATATTATATTGAATGAATAGTTAATAAAACACGAATATGGTATATAAAATATAATTTATTTAATGACACAAGGGGAAATTTATACAACATTCATTTTTTGTTTATTCCACCTATTTGTTTTTTCTTCTTTCTCGTAAAGTTGTCTACAGACGGCAAGCCACTGTCGAACTCACTTGCAGTGTGCATGGAGCTTTGCTTGTTTACAATTCTATTGCCGAACACGGAGACTTTCATTTTTGAAAATCTAAATATAAAAAATGAGTTTTTAAGTTCATATTTCATTGAGGATTTAATCAATGTTGGTTTGGATATTATATAGAATAGAATATTTGTGGTAATTATAATACATATAGGTAGCTTATTAAGTCATGGTGCGAAGACTTCAAACTTCACCTAAATCCTTAAACCCAGACACTTGAGAAAGTGTTTCGCTTATATTATCATCCAATTTGAATTAATAATAAGTACCAAAAATTATACTTCCTAAACTTAATTAACACCTCCAGGTAAATTTCTAAGAAATTAATTAAATATCTAAGAAATCTATTGTTAACTGTAACGCTGGCATGTCCGCGGTCGTGGAAAGATTAAGAAAATTTGTTATAAATTATATTTACGCACAATTAAAATCCATACGAAATCATAAAAACGTATTTACAAGCATCACACTCACCCGGGCCTTTTCTTTTCTTCCTCATCATGTATTGTAAGTCTGTTGCTAGGTCTTTCTTTCTTGAAGTTAGGGTCAGATTTAGCCCTTCGCGCCAAAGCCGCCGGGGTGTCCCTAAGAGCGAACGCTTTAGCCGCGTGACCCAAGTGCAGTTGTCGCGCGTCTAGCCACATACGCACGTCGCGCGGGTAACCCGAGTAAAAACGCACCCATGATGTGTAGGCTAAAAGAATTTTTATTGTTGCACGTCATATAGCATGCTCTCATCGATATCAGTAATAGAAAACTAAATATCTATGAGAATGCAGTATCTACACGTCAGAATATGTCATCTATACATATAATAAAATTGTAACGAAGGCGAACCTGTACATTAAATATTTTTTGAAAATTTTTATTGAAATAAATATTATTATCGATGCAAAGGCCGAATCTATAGTTTTTAGAATTTTTGTGTGTCTGTTTGTATGTCTGTTACCGCGTCAACATATAGGACACTTTTTACCGTAGGAAAATATCTCATTTCTTAGAAAAATACAAAAACTGCAATGTAAGAGTATACTAATATGTAAAACCTAAGAATTTGGTTTTTGGTCATCTGAGCGCGGGCAGAGCCGCGGGCAATGCTAGTTCTCATATTTATCTTTCTATTAGCGATATCGGATGTAGAAAGGCACTTTGGTTTGACTAAAAATGTTAAAATAAGAGGCCGCAGTTTCGTCCTCGAGATAAATAAATGTTTTGTTCTTAGAGATGTTTATACCTATTATAAACTTTATCCTTTCTATAAAATGCAAAGATATTTTTCAAATATGACTGGACTATGGTTCCAGAGATTAGTGCGCTCAAACAAACAAAATCAGAAAATGTCAACATCTTTGTTTTCGATATTTTACGCATATAATACAATTTTAACTCAGTGCTAAAATATAATAAAAAATATCTTACGAACTCATAAAAATTAGCTCTAAATACGAGACAACTTTAAATGAACACTTAATGACCTTCTGACCGATTTCGACCACGGCGGCCATTCTTAGGCTAGTCTGACATCTGCGCAAGAGATACAACAGTGCGTAAACCATCTCCATTCCTCCCAAACTCCACTGGGATGACCTAAGTTTTTTTTATTCCATTCGCAATTAATAGTCCAATATACATACCCCGGCTAGCTCTCGCAAGCCATTCCCGGGAGCTATGGGCGGTGTGCTCGAGACGAGTTTGTACCGCGATGGCCGCGCGTTGAGGCGTCGGCGCGGACGGCGCTATAGATTGCAGCGGAATCAAACATTTTGACTCGTCCGCTTGGCGTAATCTGTGTTAAATTGTGTTCTGTTTATAGATTTTTTATTGGAAATCGGTTAAGCGTTAGTCGGTTGTACGATGTGCTACTGGTACTAGATATATCGGTTTGATAAAATTATATTTTTTTAAATATACTTATTTTTAAATGTTATTGACCAACTGTAATAAATGGGATTCAAAACGCAATAAATGAGCTCAAAATCTTTCTAGCAGTGATTGAAATTCTAAAGTAAATTAATATCGACTTTCAAGATATGTTTATTTAGTCATAACTTATAACTGAACTCTGAAGCATTTACAAAGATTGGTATAGATCTCACTACAAAATAAGGAATAAGTTCATTTGTAATAGCACTTTAATTAAAGATTACTGTCAATTAATTATTATTAATTTAATTATTATTAATCCAAATGTCTTTTTAAAAGAATCCTACTGAAATGAATTACAACTAAGCCATAAATATCAAGTCAAAATCTTTCTCTTTATTTAGTTACGAAAATAGAAATCTATTGCATTTGTGGCATATTTTTGCATGAAGCTCACTATAGTAAAATAAAATTATTTTTAAACTAACCTAATATTTTCTGTATCATATCATGTATATGTAATAATCTTAAAGGGTTTAAATATAAATCGAATCTCAAAGCGACTCACCTGATACGTTTTTGTTCTAGATGCCTTACAAATTCAGCCTCACTCGGAAGAAGGAACAATATGGCGGCGCCGACTTGAGCCGCACGACCTGTTCTTCCCACCCTAAGTAAAAACAGTGGAATGCATAAAGGAAATGTTATAAGGATTTCATAATAACATATGCAAATATTGCTATGAAAATATTTTTTTTACTAGCGTTTGCACACAACTCCACCCGCGATTTTATGTACAATTTATCCGTGCGAAGGGAGTAGCGTAATGTAAGATAGCCATGTTCGATATTCTATTAATACCTTCAATAAATAGTTATTAATAGAATAAAAAGTACTAAAATAAGTTTTGAACTTAAACAGGTAGTAACAGGTAGTAACAAAGGCATAAAAAACTCGTAAGCTTTAGGTAGTATATAATATTAGTAAGAGCTTAAAGTTTAATGTGATATGATTCTCAAAATGGAAAATAATCTTACTAATATTATAAATGTGAAAGTTTAGATGGATGTTTGGATGTTTGTTAATCAATCATATCAGAACGGATAAACAGATCTGAATGAAAGTTGGCACAGATATAGATTATAGTCTGAAATAGCACATAGGCTACTTTTTATCCCAGAATAATAGACGGTTCCCGTGGGATAGATTTATTTTTATTTTTTTAGAGGTGAACCCGAGCGAAGCGAGTGTGAGCCGGTAGTAAAAGATAAAATAATAATTAAAAACAATACTTAACACATAGGTAACATTTTTTAAAGAAAGCATAAAAATAAAGTATCAACGGTTAATACGCCAGCAACTTATATGATACTAACGGCTCACCCTCGCTTCGCTCGGGTTCGCCTCTAGAAAAACACTAATTTAACTATTCCACAGGAACTCTTTAATTTTCCGGGAAAAAAAGTATCTAAGATGTTGCCCAGGAATATAAGGTACCATCATGCAATATTTCATTTAATTCGGTCCAATAGATTCGGAGATTAGCCCGTACAAACAGACAAACAGACAGAGAAACAAAAAAATAGAAAAAAAACTGAATTTGTTCTATTTGTCTTCTTACATCCACCTGAATCGATTTTCAGCATTTTTTTGCTATGTACAGACATTCGACCTCTACTGTTTTATTATAGTATAGAAAACATAGAATTCATTGATGCATAACTACGATAAATATTTCAATGATTTTTTTATATTTTCAAATATTCGATACATGAGAAAATGATTATTAAACAACGATTTTTAATCTATGCATTATTTCTTTGGGGCGTATCTTTAACGTAATTTGATTACCTACTATACAATTTCTAAATAGTTTAATTGAAATTCAACAAAAAATATTGAACAAAAATTCTTATCCTTATTTCATTAGAATGTTCCTTAAATTAACGCACATGATTACTTTAGAATTACTTTAGAATGTATTTATTTTATTTATTTCAAACTTTATTATTAAACCAAATTTTGAACATTAAACAATTAAGGTTAAACGTGGCAGTATGGATAAAAAATCAATGAGTGACTTTACCTGTGTACATAGTCCGTTGCCGAAGCCGGTGCGCAATATTGTAAGACAAGGTCTACCCGAGGCACGTCCAATCCTCTTGCCGCTACGTCCTATGAAATAAACCCAAATCTATCTATATAATATTTCAGTTGTAACAAGAACTAGTACGTACAAGAAATATAAAAAAATAATGGAAATGGTTTTTAAATTTTTTAGCAACGGACAATTTTTGAAGTGAAAACTTCTATAGGTTATGTATAGGTTTGGATGGGGAGCAAATTCATGTAACGTGACGTGTTAACGCTAACACTCAAGAGTGCCGATAGATGTCAAAACCAGATAAATGTAAACAGTTTTAATTTACAAATTTTAATTTAAGATCAAACAATTTGAATATCCAAAAATAACAACTGTTTGTTTAGTTTTAAGTTTTCACTTCCGTCAGCAGTCCTCATGACTGTTTTTTTTAAATTAATAATATACATACATATCATCCTTATTTTGACAAGTGTGTGTTGAATTTTTAGATTAGTTATGTTTTCTTTCATAAATTGCGGGTGATAGGTAATAATAAAATATTTGACCAAATGCATCAAATAACAACGGTCGCGATCGCTTAAGCATGATCAAAAAAAGGCTAGGGACACGACTAAGTTTTAATTTAATATTAAACGTGGACAATACCGGCAGGCATGTTAATGTATATATTAATGAAAAAAATGCATTAAAATCTGCGCAATATACCTACTAATAAAAAAAAACAGAATATCATAAACCATCTTTATATAGAAAAAAATAATTATAATTTCTTACCGTACAAATAAGCAATCCTCTTTTGGCACTCCTAAATTGCTTGAAAACTTCTATCCGATGCTCGTGCGCCATAGAACCGTGTAGGCTAAAGAAATCCAGTACTTGTGGTATTATCCCACCTTCAGCTGGCGCTTCATAGTCCATTTCATACTCCGAATCTGAATCGTCTTTATCTTTTGCTTTAGACTCCTCACCTTTCTTTTTAACCTTAACATCTTTGCCCGTTAGAACTGTTTCTATCAACTCTGAATGATAATCGACCATTTCTAATGTCGCCATGAAAACTATCATTTTCCCGCCCTTTTTATTTAAAATACAATGTTCGACTATAAGAGAGCATAATGTGACCAATCTGAGCTTCATAGGTACAATTAGGAATGTCTGATTCACTGTGGCGGGTAGAACAAGTTCGTCTTCTACAATAGCAGTTTTGAGAGCTTCGACAAATATATTCTCATTTACAGGTTCTTCTTTTTCGTTAACTTCTTCTTCGTCTTTTGGCTTTTCAGTTTCCAACTGTTTTTGCACTTTGAAATATTCATAATCTGAATCGCTGTCACTATCATCATTCTTCGCGTCAGTCGGTTTAATGGCATTGGTTTTCGAAGCTTCTTTTTTATCGCCGAATAATTCAGCATGGTCTAAGCCGTTAAATGCTTTAAGCCCTAAAATAAATTAACTGTAAAGCGTACTAAAATTATACAAAACTAACCCTTTATTTAAACTCATAACATAAACGTACATACCTCCTCTGTGATGTGTTAAACTATTTAAAGGAATGTCTTTATCTTCTGAGGCCACTTCCATAGGTTGTATGACCTCAGAAACATTTTGAACTCGTCCTTTAACCTCTTCACGAGGATTATTATCTGTCACTTTTTTATTTGTTTCTATGTCTGTTTGGGGTTTCGCAGGTTTCAATGAATCTGCGACAAGAGTTTTGCCGTCAGATGTATCTACAAAGACAGGATCGTGCATTGTTATTCCTGCTAAGTTTTCCACAGCCTAGAGATAAGAAGAAGTATTTATAGAATACGTCATATTATATGAAATTTAAGTTACCCTACATACCTAAATGTATGATCATATTTAGGATGCGATTTGCAAATACTCAAGTATTGTGCAATACCTTAGTTAACGTAGCTGATAATAGTATAGTTTGTCGTTCTTTAGACAAAAATACTTCTGTCAGTGGATGTTGAGTATTAGTTTCCTCTGTTTTTTTTTCGTTTTCGCCATTTTGTACTTCTTGAGTTTCATTTTCAACTGGTTTTTTAGTAATAGTCTGTTTAACAAGTGCTAAAGGATCATAAGTGGCATTTTTTTTATGATCTTCAATTGCCTTTACAATGGCAGCTACATCTTTCTCATAACCCATATCTAGCAATCTATCCGCTTCATCTAATATAAGGCATCTACAAATAATATATAGTTAAAAATTATATAGTTAAAAATACATAGTTAAAATTATATAGTTAAAAATTATAAACGATTCAACTTTATAAAATAAATTTTTAATTGAATTTCTGTAAAATCTTAAAAAACTTTTAAAAAAATAAGAACCGACTTCCAAGCACTAAAATGTAAAAAATAACTAAACCGACAATATTTTAACATATGAATAGGTAAATATGTGTTTTACGTATCGAAATATGTATATTAGATTTGCTTTGCATCGGCTGGCACCGACTTCGAAAATATCTGATTAGGTATCTATACTAAATGAAAACCCCCGTTTAGTTATTTTTTACATTTTAGTGCCTGGAAGTCGGTTATTATATTTTTAAAAAAGTTTTTATTTGTCCATTTTTAGTGTAGACGTAATAATCAGGTAATATGTTAGAAGAAAGTTTTTTAATAGCAAATTCTATTAAGCAATTTATTTTATAAAAATAATTTATTTGTTGATTTAAAAAAAAACTGCTTGACCGATTTCGATAAAATTTATATGAGACCACCTGGGAAGACCACCCTTTGAAACAAAAAAAAATATCCAAATCGGTTCAGGCGTCTTCGAGCAATCGGTGAACATACATAAAAAAAAGATTCCGACGAATTGAGAACGTACTCCTTTTTTTTGGGAAGTCGGTTAAAAAGGATGCAAGAGTCAGTAACTGTTTACATTCATAATCATAACGAAACAAAAAAGAGTCCGAAAAAAGCACAGACAATTTGGTGTGTTACATACTCAATAATAATACATAATAATAAAAAATAGATTTAACTTTCATGTACATTTAATAGATACTAATAAAAAATAATAAATAAGTCTAGTAATTTTCTAGTTAATCTACATTTATTACTGAAGCACATTTTCTTGAAAACCAAAACTAACATGTACATATTTACACACAAATAAAATATATCTTAAAATAACTAAGTACCTATATACCAAAACTTTTGGCTAAATAGTAAATAATCTTAATAAAATCTTACCCTGTTTTAGCAAAATTTAAAGAGTGAGTATGTCTTAGATGATCATTTATTCGACCCGGAGTACCAACTAATATACTTAGACCCTTTCTCAATCTTGCTTTCTCTGCTTTCCTCTTCTGTCCTCCACTCAATAAACCAGGCACAATCCATATAAATGGCTACGAAAAATTTTATGGTATTTTAAATATATTTTCCTGTTTACATATTTAGTTTTAATACTGATGTATAATGCTTACTATAATAAGTTTTACTTCTCAGTCTATTACTTTTTATGAATTATACTGATTATCAAGGTTGGAAATTGTTGAAATCACTGTTTTTTTTTAATTCAAATACAGAATGAATTTTACAATATTAACCATATGTTAGTTTGCACATATTTATAAAAAAAGTTTAAATATTTGCAAATCTACAACATCTATTATCTATTCAAGCAAACAAATATAGCCCGAAGAATTGCCCCAATCAGGGCTGTCCAATTTCTTTGTATGGGATGACGCATCTGTACTAGTATAGTATTATGTGATCCTATATGTTAAAAAAATTTTAGTGAATTTACTTTATGGTATTTTATGTTATATTTGGAGTAACTTCTAGATGATTAAACTTAAATCAACACTCAACAATAATAGCCAGGTAGTAATTAAATAAGCTCACTGAAACTTTTATATAGGTGTCATAATACAAAGGGGTACAATTAACTTTTTTCAAAATTGAACTATGCATACAGATTCAAAATCAAGAAAAAAATACATCTGTCCAGTTTTGTATAATTTTACGAATGAAATCTTTTAAGTCACCTAATAAATATTTCTTAGAGCTTATTTATATTTATACCGTTATTGATATAAAGATTATATTTATAACAATTAAATGACTTCACATGTTTTCTTCAGTTCACACTTTTTATATTATAAAAAGAAAAAATAATAATTATTATTTTTTCTTTTTATAATATAAAAAGGCATATGAAGTAAATTTTTTTTTTTCATTCTTTTGTGACTGTATAAGCTTTTTTGACATTTATGGAAGATACTTGCATTTTGGTTTGTAATATTTTTTTATTTTAATGAATAAAATGTGTAAATATAAATTATCATCTTTTTTAAGTATTGCAATTTAAAAAAATGCACTTTTATTATATAGCATTTACATTTATACAGCAAATGTTACCTTTGTAAGTTTAACAAACAATTCATATGTCTGTACAGCCAATTCTCGAGTCGGAACAACAACAATAGCTCTTACACCATCATGCCTATTAATTTTAGGTCTTATTGCTTGTAAGCCTTCTATAACTGGCAATGCATATGCTAAAGTTTTGCCTGAACCTGTTTGTGACCTAATAAAATCAAAAATTAATAGTTGCCATATATTAAAAAAACATTTATTGAATAAAAAAAATTATTATATTATACCTGATTAAAACATCCCTGCCTTGTAAAATAATTGGTATCGCTTTTTGTTGTACTGTCATCAATTCAGTTAAATTTAGATTTTGTTTTAAATTGGCAATGCTATGTGAATGAATATTTAAATCAGAAAATGTTTTGCCTGCAAATACTTTTTCTACTACAGGCTTCACTGCTTTTTGACCCATTTTAGGTACATCTGGATTATTTTTAAATAATGATGATATCCAGGGACCACTTCTGGGCTTTTGCTTCAGCTGCAAGTCATCACTTATTTCTTGATAATTTTTTCCCTGGTATTTGCCTTTATTTTCACTAAGGTCACGTAATGTTGACTGCAAATCTACATCTTTTTTATTATGAAAAGAGTTTGAAACTTTTGGTATTTTATTCTGTGGTTCTCCTAAATTCTTTTGAGAAAATTTTCCAGAACCCGCATTTTGTGGTCTTTTCCTTGCAATAATTGTGCCACTAAAGTCTGGTTTTGATTTAAATTTGTATTCATTTGCGTTCTTTTGTGAAGTTTGCCTTTTATTACCCTTATTTTGAGGCTAAAAATCAATCATAACATTAACAACTAACAATATAAGTTTTTTAACGTAAAAATATACACTTACCTTTTTAGAAACAGATATATTTAATTGTAAATCATCCATTTTAATAATAGGTATATCACACAAGCAAGTTCAAATATTGACTTTGAGGTTATTTGCACGTTGTGACATTTGTATTTGTTGACATATTTTGACATTTCAACTTGATGTTCAAAAACTAATATTTATTATTTATGTTATGTAAAAAATATTTAATATTTTTAATTATACCTTGGTTAAACGGTAGGTATACAACCTTTTTAATGAATACAATCTTGGTGGAAATTAAATTTCACAAGGGCTAATTTTTTAAACTAAATACAGCAGTTTTCAGTATTGTTTTTATAGCAGTACCAGTTTTAAATAATTTCTCGCCTGAGTATGCTTTGATCATACTTACATAAACATTCAAGAAAAACAATCATTTTCCTGAAATTACTCTTCCTGGAGGAGATTCTATGTTCGTCTATATGTATTTTCTTTGTATGTTCAACGATTACTAGAAGACGCCTGAACCGACTTGGAAAATTCTTTTTTTTTTTTTTGTTTCAATGGGTATTAGTCCAAGAGCTAGTGAACCCTGGGAGTAACGGTCTCCCTATAAGGTTAGAAATTTGTCTATTTACGGTTTATGGCATGCTAAGAGCAATAGCCATGACCTGGCAGGCGTCAGCCCTGCACGTCATCAGCCCCTTTATTTTTTGAACTGTTTAGTAAATTGAGTTTTAAAACTTGTTTCTGTAAATTTGAAAATTTAATAGGATAAAGTTTATTTATTGTACATTCTAAAAAAAAATTGACAGGCGATTACAATAAGCAGAAGTATATGACAGATCAATTAGAAAACCCACAGTTGATGAGGTAAAATAAACTTTATCCTGTATACTTAAAATTTTTATATGTTTTCAAGTAAACGTCTCAGAATAAATATGTACAATGCCAGGCGGTTTTGAACAGCATAAGACCTTGACAGGCGAGGGGACAGCTGCCAAGGGCGTGCGAGTGAGAGATGTTGCGTGAATGCCTATAGTGCGAGTGAGTCCGTCCTTTTCAAGAAGAGGTAAAAAAAACCATTCCAAATATTGCAGAAATCGAGTGTATATCAGAAGGCATTCAAAGAATTAGGAAACGCAGAAATAGTACAGAAGAAAGAAAAAAAATTCCCGATACTAGAGAAATTGGTATGCCAAATGTATGGTTTGAAATGTTCAAAATTAAATAATGCACGTTATGAAAAGTTCCTTGCTACGTACAACACAAATAATCCTTAAGTGTTTATGAAAAAAGTAGTAAGCTATGATTCATCAAATTTACCACCCTGTCAACGTGAACTATATCAACAATTATTGAGAACTGCCTACATCTCTATATATATAAAAGAAGGTCGTGTTAGTTACACTATTTATAACTCCAGAACGGCTGAAACCGGCTAAAAATTGGCGGGGAGGTAGCTTAGAACCCAGAGACATAGGATACTTTTTATCCCGTTCGACCGCGTTCCAATTTTTATGATATTTTAATTTTTGGATTACTCTTAGTCCGGAATAGGTAAGTATTAAAACATCAGAATAATTAAAAAAAAAAATTATATGGCTTACGCTGGCTAATAACTTTTTATATCTATTTAAAACGTACCTAGCGACGAACCCGAGCGAAGCGAGGGTGAGCCGCTAGTCTTTATATATATAAAAGAAAGTCGTGTTAGTTACACTATTTATAACTGAAGAACGGCTGAACCGATTTGGCTGAAAATTGGTGGGGAGGTAGCTTAGAACCAGGAGACGGACATAGGATACTTTTTATCCCGTTCGACCGCGTTCCCGTCTGACGTGACATAAAACTCAAGAATGGGTGGAACAATTTTTATGATATTTGAATTTTTGGATTTCTCTTAGTCTGGAATAGGTTAATAAGTATTAAAACACCAGAAAAATCACGAAAAAAAAATTAAGATTTATATGATTAACACTGGCTAATAACTATTTATATCTATTTAAATCCTAGCGACGAACCCGAGCGAAGCGAGGGTGAGCCGCTAGTTACAAAATATGGCGAAATTGTAATTTAAAAGAACCAACAATTCTTACACCTGAAAATAACGGTTGGAACTTAATTGATAGTCGTTACAATTTTAATTGGTTGGAGGGGAATACGGTTCCATCTTCTATATACGACATACTTTTACAAGGACCTGCTGATACTGCCACAGCACAATCGACTGAAACTGAGGAATGCATTTCAGGTAACATACAACTATTTTATTCCGTAACATTTAATATGCAGTCCTACGTAATTGAGCTTGATATTTAATTCTTAACAACCTTATTGATTCATTCAAATATTTTTTTACTATTTTCAGATGAGGAAAACATTGTTGAAGAATCAGATGATGATGAAAACAGTGATAGCGAAATTTCGGATTATGCTGAAGAAAATGAATGTTAAAAATTTTGATTGCATTGCATTTACTGTATGCGTTCATGTAACATTTCTTATTTGCACGCCCTTAGCAGCTCCCTGTCCCCTCGCCTGTCAAGGTCTTATGCTGTTCAAAACCGCCTGGCATTGTACATACTTACTCTGAGACGTTTACTTGAAAACATATAAAAATTTTAAGTATACAGGATAAAGTTTATTTTACCTCATCAACTGTGGGTTTTCTAATTGATCTGTCATATACTTTTATTAAGTATGTTATATTGTTTTTTGTTGCGCCAACCCCTATCCATTATATCTTTAGAGATCCTTTATCGGTTTATGGGTTGCCTGGAAGAGATCACTTTAAGTGATAAGGCCGCCTTTACACTGAAATATTTTCTATATAATATGTGTTTTAAAATTGTACTTCTTTTCTGGTGTAATAAAGTATTAAATAAAAATAAATAAATAAATAAAATACTTCTGCTTATTGTAATCGCCTGTCAATTTTTTTTTAAGATGTACAATAAATAAACTTTATAATAATAATAATAATAATAATAATAATAATAATAATCGGGGGCGATCGCCGGGGCGCACTTGGAGCTGACGCTGGGTGCTACAGTATACGATCCGTCAGCGGAGAGGAGCTGAATAGGCGGGCTCCCTCCGGGTTACCCGAAAATGCTACAGCCAACTCGACACAAAACAGACAGACTGACAATTCATCACCATCACTTTTACTAGAAGAACCTTATAGCCTATCTACCGTTTCGTACTTACCTTCACCATCATCCTTAACAAGTCAGAATTTATCACATTCACATAGATCTACTCCAACTTTAGATGTTACGCAGGAGGTGAATTCCTTTTTACCTGCGTCCACTAAGGCTGGGAAAGCAAGAGTACGCATGACATGGTCAAAAGATGTCAACATGTTTATCATGCGTACATATTACAGTATAACAAAATTAGAGACAGACATGACTTGTTATAGGAAAATCCTGCATGAATTCTTTACTAAGCAATACCCGGGAGTAAATGTTACAGAGCAAAGAATCTCAGACCAGAGACGAATGATAATTAAAAAGAAATATCTCTCTGAGGAAGAATTAGAACAATTAAAAAATGAAGTCAGGCGCAAAATTGAAGAAACAAATACCGATCACAATAACAGCCACACCACTCTTCCTTGTTCTAACACAACAGACTTAGTAGCACATATAACAAATGATTTACAAACAAACAATGATTTACAATCATGCGATCAAAACTTTCATGCATCCTCTACAGAGCCGACAACACTCACCAACAATTTCTCGACACAAACTTCAAGTACTTCCACTCAAGTAGATATGGCATACGATATCATTTTAGAGACAGATCTTATAACATTGGAACATGAAACTATAGGAGATGAAGTAATTACAAAACTACATGAAGAATTAAAAACAACAATATTTCAATACTCAGGTATGGATCCTACATGTAGACCGAAATTACCTAAACTAAAATACTGTAAAAAGCTTACAACTCTAATAGATATTTTTAACAATAATATACTGAACCGATTTATTACAGACAATGCACTACTAACTGACATCCATACCCTTGTTTATTGTAGCGCTATGGTGATAACGAAAGAATTAGGTTTAAACATTTTGGATGAAAATCAACAGCCAGACCACAAGCGCAACTCAGAACCAGCATGGCAAATAAGATTACAAAAAGGTATAAACCAGCTCCGATCAGATATAGGTAGACTTACTCAATACATTAAAGGCAATAGGTCTAAAAAAGTAAGTAAAACAGCAGAAAAATTTTTTCGAAATTATCAGACACATACAACTCATGAGAACACAAACAAAACACCTGATGAATACCTTGACACACTCAAACAAAAATTATCACTTAAAGCACAAAGACTTAGAAGATATTCGAAGGCTAATCAAAGAAAACAAGAAAATAAACTTTTCACAGTGAACGAAAAATTGTTCTATAGACAGTTGAAGCAAGATAAAAATGTAACTAACAATAGGGATGACACACAAATGGTAACAAAAGGACAGCTTGAAGACTTTTGGTCTGATATATGGGAGAAGTCAGTATCACACAATGAAAGTGCAGAGTGGATACGAGAAGAGAAAAGTGAATGGGACTCAATAGAGGAGATGATATTTGACGAAATAACAGAAAATGATGTCAAAATCGCTACTTCTAAATTGCATAATTGGAAATCACCGGGAATAGATAATATTCACAATTTTTGGTATAAAAAACTACATACACTCCATAAGGCTCTCGCTAAAACTTTTACTAATGTTATATTTCAAAAGCAACCACTACCACCATTTATTTCAAAAGGAATTACATATATGATCCCAAAAAGTAATAATACAAATGATCCATCCCAATATCGACCAATTACTTGCCTACCCACAATATACAAAATTTTAACTAATACCATTGCTACAAAAATAAATTTACACCTAGAACATAACATGATTATGGCAGAAGAACAAAAAGGGAGTAGGAGAAACCACATGGGTTGCAAGGAGCAACTCATAATTGACTCAACAATTCATAGACACGCAAATTTAAAGAAGAGAAACTTACATTGTACGTTTATTGATTACCGTAAAGCA